CTGCCATGCCCCGGCCCAGACGGCCGCCGCGGTGGACACAGCCCTAAGCAGATCAGGCTGCCTGGGGCACATGGGACATGGAACACTACCCTGAAAAGCCAGGTCGACAGAGCGGTTGGTCTGCAAAGGAACAAGAGGAGATGTGTGCCCCAGCCCGTGTCCCCAGACCAGCTGAGCCAGGCCTAGGCGAGGGCAGCAGAGGTCCTCGGCCCTGGGCAGTCGTGACATGACACATATATACCCCCATCGCTTGGGTTCATGGGAGCGGATGCTGTCCCACCACGGGCGTCTCTGAGATGTGGAACTGTTTGTGATTTTCTTCTCCCCAACATGACGTCCTCCCAGTCGTGGTGCCCTCCATTGGATCGCTTGGAGGAGAGGAAAGAGCCGAAGTCACCCGACACCAGGACCACTGCGTTCACCAGCCTGATACTGCCGAGACTCTCTGACGCTCTCGGGAGCTAGGTGAAGAGCACACACCTTCCCTGCCTCGCCCTCCCCACCTGGTCTACCGAGCCTGTGCTCTCTGACGCTCTCGGGAGCTAGGTGAAGAGCACACCTTCCCTGCCTCGCCCTCCCCACTGTGTCTACCGAGCCTGTGGTGCAGGTGGAGAGGTGCAGCAAACGGAGTGGAAGGACAGCGAACCCTGCGCGCCACTTGAGACATCAGTCCCACCCCCTGGGGAAGGCCATGGTGCCAATTGGAAAGGTGCTAGCCACCTGAAGCCTTGCTATTCCTGTGGCTGCCCATGTCCTGTCACCCTGGCCAGGTCAGAATCTGAAATCACGTTCTCTGTCTTCACCACCACTGCCCGTCTTGGTCTTTTATCTTTGAGGGTGACTTTCCCTTTAACTTACCCTTATTTTTATTCGTCTCTTCTTGCACTTTGGTCAAGAATTCTCCAGTTTCTATCCCCAAATGGCCATCCAGAGGGTTGGGCCCACAGCTCATTTGGAATCTTACTGCCCCTGTCACCCCGTTACCCTAAGGACCACCAACCTGATGGAGGACGGGGGCCCTCCTCTCTCTTTGGGCTCATTCTAGCGACACATGAGATTTTCTCAGCGCCACCTTCCCCTCCCGTCTTCAGTCCTTCCCCACCACGGCGAAGTGGGTAAGGCATCATGGACAGCAGGTAGTCCCCTGCCTCCGATGTTTCAGATGTTTCTCTTCCCGACTCCCTCCCTTCCGATTTATTTTCTTGTACACTACGTCATAGCCTCTCACCCATTTCCCCCCACCCTCCTCCCCTCCCATCCCCCATGGTTTCAAAGGATGACATGTAATGAAAAGCACCCCTGGCCCTACTTTCCCATGTATTAGGTTCGATTAAGATGTGTCTTGGTGGGGATGGGACAATGGGCTTCCGTAGGCCGTTCCACCAAACCCGGGGGAAACTTGGGAGACCCGGCACGACAGGAACCCCGGTGGATATACTGAGGGACAGGGGACAAACTGCAGAAGCGGTTAACGCTCGATACGCGCGGACTCTCGTGACTGTTGACAGCGAACGTTCACCATTGCACTGTACGAAATGTTTGAAGTGTAATTAAACGTTTCTGTTGGGCTCGGGAGCCCTGGCTCGCGCTCGTTCTGCCGGCCCGCGCAGGCTGCTCCAGTGCACGCCGCGCCTCCCGCAGTTTCCCCTCCCCGTCGGCGGCTCGGTGATGGACATCCCGCTGCCTCCAATCGGGGGCGCCCAAGGCCAGCGGCCAATCAGGAGCTCCGGTGGGCGGGGCGGCCGGGCCAGTTAGATTTGGCGGTTCGACTCCAACATGGCCGAAGCTAGCAACGCCGAGGCGGGCGGCGAGTGTGCGGAAAGAGGGCCCGAGGGGCCGTCCCCGGAGTCGGTCCCCCCCGGCACTGCCGTCTCGAGGGTGAAGCTCCTCGACACCACGGTGGACACTTTCCTCCAGAAGTTGGTCGCCGCCGGGAGGTAGGTGGGGAGGTGAGGCGGGGCGGCGGGGGCGCGCGCGGGGC